CAGAGCAGACGTAGAGCGGCTCAAGTGGTAGCTAAACCTGAAGGCAGCTCAGCTTAAACTTTGCGGTGGTAAAGCTTACGACCGTCAAGTGACTAAGCTATCATAATATGAGATATGTAAGATAGGCATGCTATGCTTTGCAAAGCCTGAACTGACAGAAGACTAGAGGAAGAATTTTCAGTAACTTGTTATATGTGCGATAAGTACACTTGACAAAGGCGAGGCGAAACCTACTCATAAGAGACAACCCCATCCTCTCGTCAGATAAGATGTTACATAAAGACTTTGGCCTCAAGGGTTGGTGTGTTGGTTTCCAATGGCTGCAATTTGGATCATTTAACCCATTTTGCTTTTTCCTTCCCAATTAATTTATTTTAATTTAATTCGCTTAGTGGGGGTGGAGTTCAACTGGGTCCACTCGGCACGGCGGCCACTGATTGGCCTATTGTAGCCTGCCCCGGGTGATTATGATGATGGAGAATTGGTGGAATGAAGATTGGCAGGGGAAACCGAAGTACTCGGAGAAAACCCGCCCCAGCACCACTTTGTCCACTACAAATCCCACTTGACCAGACCCGGGATCGAACCCGGGCAAACGCGGTGGGAAGCCATCGACTAACCGCTTGAGCTATGGCGCGGCCAAAATCACAACTAAAACAAGTAAAGAAATACTCCATGGCCACAAGGGTTCAGTTGCAATCTCCTGTCATTCATCTCGATGGGCTTAGCGGCAAGAAAATTGATTTGCGGTAAACCGCCAATAGTAAACTAACTTTGACTTCGGCTTATGAGCTGTTGCCGTGAGAAGCTGGTAGCTGAGGCCGGGGACTGTTCGGGAACGTTGATTTTGGACTCTAGTGTGTGCTTTTGTATGTTTGTATTAATGACCTGTAATGGATAGCCTCGCGCTGCAATACATTCGGTCTCCAATCCAAAACCCGTCTATAGTCATAGTCATAAAGACGATGCCGCAAGAACAGCCACCAAGGAAAGGAACGGGGATGCACCGTTAGGCTATTCGGGACGAACAGCCTTAAGGAGGGAGCAGTGTGACATGTTGGACCCTACCTCCCCAGCGAAACGTAGCGCTCGCGTAATAGGCGAGACGTCACCCCGCCACTCTCGCCGCGGTGACGTCACGAGCGGAGCCGAAGAGAGCCGAGCGGAGCCGAAGATAGCCGAGCCCCCGTAACCTGGTAACTATTCAATGCGAGTCAACAGCGGTGACGTAACAGGATGACGTGGCACTCATTACGCAACAAGCAAGCACTGCGGCTATATAAGCGGACTCCACATCAGCTACGACATAGTTGAAACATAGCAGCCTGCGAGTGTGCGATAACTAAGAAGTCAGCGAGCGGAAGACTTATTGTGTGCTTTCCAGACATAGTGAGTGCTGTAGTACAGTTATACTCGGAGTGTGTATTTCAGGGAGACTTGTATAGCTCCCACGTTATTAGTACGTGAAGACAAGTGAAGACGGTGTTAAGAGATTTTGTTCTACGGTTTGTAAAGTGTGGAAACCCGTAACATTGTGATAATTAAGTGTAGCCGTTATTTGTAGATTGTTAAATAAACCAATTAACCATCTCTACGGCGTCTTCGGTAACGTAAACACGTTACACTGGTGTCAGAAGTGGGATTTGAACTTACACACGTGATCAACGAGATTCTTACTCAAAACACGTGATAATTTGGTGTCAGAATTTTTACGAACTTAAACACGCCACAAATTGAATTATTGTGCATCGAATATTTTACTGCTACAAAATGGAGAAACAAGACTTGCAACGAATAATGGAAATGCTGAAAGAGTTAAAGGTTGACAAAGAAGAGATGGAGGAAAAGAGTAGGAAAGAGAAAGAAGAAATGGAGGAAAATAGGAAGAAAGACAAAGAAGATTTGATGGCCAAATTAGACTCCTATCAAGAAAAGGCGGAGATCGGCCTCAGCGAATTACTGGCCAGATTAGAGGACGTCAGACAGACCGACCGAAGAGAACTGAAGGAGATGATGGACGTCAACCAAGCCCGGACAGATGGAAAGCATCAGGAGCTTACAGAAAGAACGGGAAAAACACAACGGGAACTGGAGTCAGTGGAAGTGTGCCTCTGCGCGAGGACAGATAAACTCCAGGAAGAACTAACGAAAACTAAACGCGAATTCCAGGCCCGTTTGGAAGGAGTACAGACGAGGACCGAGCGGGGAATCGCGGTCAGCGCGAGCACAGCTCAGCCACCGACATTCTACGGGAATTCGACGTGGAGCGTGTTCCGGCGACAATTCGAGACCGTAGCAGACCACAACCAATGGACGGATAAGGAAAAATCAACGTACCTAATTACGGCCCTGAAGGGTCGGGCGGCGGAAATACTACCCGGCATTCCGGCAAATACAACTTACGAGGAAACTCTTCAGGCTCTAGAGGACCGTTTCGGGGACCAACACTTTGCAGCTGCTTACCACTGCCAGTTAAGAACAAGGACGCAGAAACCTACAGAGTCCCTGCAAGATTTTGCCACTGCCATTGAACTGCTCGCCCTTCGTGCCTACCCCAATCTACCTGCAAACCACGTTGGAAGAGAGGCAGGAAAAGCGTTCGTATACGGCATACGAGATGCCGATATTAAGATCCAGCTGCTGCTGGGAGGGGAGAAGACGGTAAACGAGGCCCTCCGACAAGCGCTAGAGCTGCAGGCGGTACTGGTAGCAGCCAGACCTCACGGAGATAGCACAAAGTTCCGATCGTTCCCCACCCAACGAGGAGATGACAATAGACAGCACCAGGACCGAAAAGAAGGACCTCCAAGAAATAAAAGGGAATCGCCGGGGAAATCAGAATGGCGACCCAGAGACAACAGGGAAACAAACTGGAGAAAGGACCAACCGTCGGGAAACGAGCGACGGCCGGCGGAGATGGGCGAACGCCGGCATATGCGTTAAGGCCCCCACACTACGCACTCACCGACATGACGGAGAAAGCCAACACCAGTCTGGTCACCCAGGGATGGGTCGGTGATAAGCCGTGTCAGGTGACAGTGGATACTGGAGCATACGTCACGGTGGTAAGACCGGATATCGCCGCCGGATGGCCTGAAAGACAGCCAAATCCAGATTTCTCGCTACAGACCGTGTCTGGAGGATCCCTGCCCATACTGAAAGAAGTTCTGTTGACCCTTACCCTAGGGCGCCAACCTATTACGATGTGGGTTTTCGTCGCGAATATCACCGATGAGCTCATCCTGGGACTGGACATACTACGCGCCTATGATGCTTCAGTGGATATAGGGCGCCAAACTCTTCGTCTGGCGGAAGAAGAAGTATCGCTATGGAGTCCTGGGGCAGGACCCCGTCCTTCTAACTTAGTAGTGGCAAAAGACCATGTGATACCCGCACGGAGCGAGGGAATAGTGATGGCTAAAATGAAGAATCGTCTGGGAGTAGAGAACGGTTTAGTAGAACCAAGCCCCCAGGCCCACCCTCCTGAAGGAATTTACGTGGCCAGGACCCTAGTTCAGGACTGTCAAGAAGTACCAGTGAGGGTCATGAATGTTACCCAAAAGGACCAAAAGCTCAGGAGAGGATCTCCTCTGGCGCACTGTGAGCCAGTAACACTCGTGGCTTTGCCCGAGATGGGGCAGCCACCAGCACCAGGTCTAACACCGAAATTAGCGGACGTGACCACAGCGGCCAAGCCACACCTAAGCCCCGGAGAATTTCAAGAGTTAGAGGATCTCGTGTCCGAGTACGCGGATATCTTCGCACAAGACAACGAAGATTATGGAAGAACAAACAGAGTTTATCACCGCATAGACACGGGAGAAGCCCGACCAATTCGACAGCCACCGAGGAGAGTACCCCTGGCAAAACAAGCAGAAGTGAAGGAAATGCTTGACAACATGCGAGGACAGGGTGTTATAGAAGAATCGGACAGCCCTTGGTCGTCCCCGGTCGTTCTGGTCAGGAAAAAGAATGGGGAGCTCCGTTTCTGTGTGGACTACAGAAAGCTGAACGACGTCACCAAGAAGGATTGCTTTCCGCTACCCCGCATTGACGACACCCTGGACACGCTGGCCGGAGCCAAATGGTTTTCAACTCTCGATTTAAAGAGTGGCTATTGGCAAGTCGACGTACACCCAGACGACAAAGAGAAAACAGCGTTTTCGACAGGACAAGGGCTATGGCAGTTCACAGTCATGCCCTTTGGCCTCTGCAATGCCCCGGCAACCTTCGAACGGCTAATGGAGACAGTCCTACGAGGGCTCACGTACGATTCATGCCTTGTGTATTTGGATGACGTGATCGTAATAGGCCGCACATTCCAAGAGCACATGCTCAACTTACGGAAAGTGTTCGAGAGGTTCAGGGAAGCCCGTCTGAAACTTAACCCGGAAAAGTGTAAACTCCTGCAGGAAGAGGTCCGATACCTCGGGCATATTGTATCACCAGAAGGGGTATCCACCGACCCGGAGAAGTTGAAAGCCGTGCGAGAATGGCCGACCCCGAAGGATAAACATGAAGTTAGAAGCTTTCTGGGACTATGCGCGTATTACAGGCGATTTATTTCAGGGTTTTCCAACATTGCGAAGCCACTAACGAAACTAACGGAAGAGAAACGAACCTTCCAGTGGACTCCAGAAGTGGAGGCCGCTTTTCAAACGCTAAAGGGTGCCCTATGTGCTGCCCCTATTCTTGCCTACCCACAGCCAGGAGAGAAATTCATTGTGGACACAGATGCAAGTAATGTCGGAATTGGAGGAGTTCTCTCTCAAATCCAGGACGGAAAAGAGCGTGTCATAGCTTACTTCAGCAAGACGCTAAACAAAGCAGAGAGAAACTACTGTGTCACCCGTCGAGAACTACTTGCCATAGTGAGGACACTGGAACATTTCCACAAATACCTCTACGGACAACAGTTCCATCTGCGAACGGACCACTCTGCGCTTACCTGGCTTATGAGTTTCAAGAACTTAGAGGGACAAACTGCGCGCTGGATACAGCGTCTACAGGAGTACAACTTCACTTCGGAGCATCGTCAGGGCCGAAAACATAACAACGCCGACGCCCTTTCTAGACGACCCTGCAAAGAGCAATGTGCGCACTGCCACAAAGTTGAGACGCGGGCAGAGGTAAAGCAAATACGCGTTATTGGAACCCTACCGGCAGCCGGCTGGGACCCTGTTACCCTAAGAGAGGAACAGCTAAAAGACCCGGACATAGGACCCATTCTACAGGAAGTAGAGAACGGCCAACGACCGGAATGGCAGGACATCGCGGATCGGAGTCCCACGTACAAAAGCTACTGGGCCCAGTGGAAATCGCTCGCTGTGAGAAACGGCGTACTAGAGCGTGACTGGGAATCCGTCACCGGAAGACGTCAAGTAGCCCAGGTAATTATTCCTCGGAGCAGGGTGAAGGACGTTCTGAGCGAACTGCACGGTGGACCGTCAGGAGGTCACTTCGGTGTCAACAAAACTCTGAATAAGGTTCGACAGAGATTCTACTGGCTCCAAGCAAGGACCGATGTTGAGAAATGGTGTCGACAGTGTGACACATGTGCAGCCAGTCGGGGACCGCGGACCAGGAATCGTGGGCAAATGCACCAGTATAATGTCGGTGCTCCCTTCGAGAGAGTAGCCATTGATATCGCAGGGCCCTTCCCACGAAGCGACCAAGGAAACCGATACTTACTGATCGCTATGGACTACTTCACCAAGTGGCCGGAAGTGTACGCCATCCCGAATCAGGAGGCTTCAACAATAGCGGAAGTTCTGGTTGCCAACTTCTTCTGCCGCTTCGGCATACCTCGAGAGTTGCACAGTGACCAAGGCCGTAACTTCGAGTCTCATCTACTGAAAGAAGTTTTGCAACGCCTGGGAGTGAGCAAGACGCGCACCACACCCCTGCACCCACAGTCGGATGGCATGGTGGAACGCTACGTCAAGACCATCGAGGAGCACTTGCGGAAGGTCGTCTCATCGCACCAAAGGGACTGGGATGAGAGGTTACCCCTCTTTCTCCTAGCTTACAGGGCATCCACTCACGACACTACGGGCCTGACGCCTGCTGGTCTAGTGTTCGGACGAGAACTACGGCTACCCTGCGACCTGCTGTTTGGAGTACCCCCAGACAAAGAACAACCCACAACCGATTATGCAGCAGACTTAGTGGATCATCTGCACGACATCCACAATTATGCCCGGCAACACCTGAAGCTTGCCAGTGACCGGATGAAAACTCGGTACGATAAACTGGCCAACTCCGCAGGTTACGACGAAGGCGACAGAGTCTGGCTCTATCGCCCAACCCGCAGAAAAGGGAAATCGCCGAAACTACAAGCATCATGGGAAGGTCCTTACAAAGTAGTGACCCGGATAAATGACGTGGTTTACCGAATCCGAAAGACCCCTAGGTCGAGGATGTTAGTTGTGCACCTCGACCGGCTTGCGCCTTATCATGGAGCTGCTCGAGACGAGCAACCATAAAAAGGGGGAAGATGTAGCGGTTGGAAAGCAGAACAACGGGGAGAAGAGGAACAGTAGAAGGACATAAAGACGATGCCGCAAGAACAGCCACCAAGGAAAAGGAACGGGGATGCACCGTTAGGCTATTCGGGACGAACAGCCTTAAGGAGGGAGCAGTGTGACATGTTGGACCCTACCTCCCCAGCGAAACGTAGCGCTCGCGTAATAGGCGAGACGTCACCCCGCCACTGTCGCCGCGGTGACGTCACGAGCGGAGCCGAAGAGAGCCGAGCGGAGCCGAAGATAGCCGAGCCCCCGTAACCTGGTAACTATTCAATGCGAGTCAACAGCGGTGACGTAACAGGATGACGTGGCACTCATTACGCAACAAGCAAGCACTGCGGCTATATAAGCGGACTCCACATCAGCTACGACATAGTTGAAACATAGCAGCCTGCGAGTGTGCGATAACTAAGAAGTCAGCGAGCGGAAGACTTATTGTGTGCTTTCCAGACATAGTGATTGCTGTAGTACATTTGTACTCGGAGTGTGTATTTCAGGGAGACTTGTATAGCTCCCACGTTATTAGTACGTGAAGATAAGTGAAGACTGTGTCAAGAGATTTTGTTCTACGGTTTGTAAAGTGTGGAAACCCGTAACATTGTGATAATTAAGTGTAGCCGTTATTTGTAGATTGTTAAATAAACCAATTAACCATCTCTACGGCGTCTTCGGTAACGTAAACACGTTACAATATCTTAAAGTAGTCCCTGACCACTCATTTTCCAATTTCCCGACTAAACATTCACGAATTAACTAATATTCATTCATATCACCACGCAATTACGTGAATATCCGAAGCGGAATCATTAAATAAACATTTAGTATAAATCAACACTTGATTATTTGGCTGGGAAGTGCATTTCGTGCAAAACGGAATATTTGTAGTGAAGCTGGTGGACGTCTATAGTGAAGTATCACCCCTTCGAAGTAAGAGTTCTATATTTGGAAATCCTTTACACTTTAAATGCGATAATTAAATTTTTTCTTAATATAAGTATAAGTGAAGCTGTCCCTGTAACAGGCCGTGAAGGCCCATAAGGTTGTGAGACGTCGAGGCTCCCACATCATCTCTAGAAAATTGGCTCACAGATGGCGGGGAAGTTGTCAGCCTTAAGAGCCGACCGAGCTTTACTCCCCAGGAAGATTCCTGGTACTCATTTCTGTTAGAGGCTGAGTTGACCACAAGGCCACAGTGCGACTGAAGGGATTAGGTAAATTAAAAAATACACCTCATCGGAACTCGAACCTACCCCCTTCCAGCTTGTAGCATTGTGCCTCAACCAAGTATGCTACCGCGTGCCCCCCAGTTTATTCCCAATAGAAGCAAGAATGGTATAACTTTGAGAGAAAATTCCTGTCATATTACCTTCAGGGATAATTCACAGCAGAACTCCTAGAGGATTGATTGATATCTAAATACGCCTGCGATTTGAAAATTATAAATATGAAACATGTAACTGCTGAAATTTTCTAGATAACTAAATGTACAAGATGAATTTCCGGCTCTGGTAAATGGTAAAGGAGCATAAACGAATGTTTCACTTACCTATCTCATATATATACAGAAGATGAGGTTTTAACTCTACAAACTTGATGTCTTCTTACAGAAAAATGAACCTGAGGGTAACTAACAGATTAAAATATTCAATAATTACGGTAATATCCTCCCTGGAACCTACAAAACGAAACTGAAAAAGGAAACTTCGGCTGATTTCATATGGCAGAGTATCCCCGTAACAGTCTGCTTGATGTATCGTGTAAGTGTACCTCTTCAGTCGTGCTGTGAACCTGGCAGTTGTCTTCTAGTACATAGATCGTTCTATCGAAAATTAAATTTGTGTTGTTTTTTTTTGGGGGGGGGGTTTGCTCTGTGTTAAAAATGTGTTTTTAAACTAATATGCCATGGACAAAAGGACAAACCTGAGTGTAAAACAAAATGAGAATTGATTTAAAAAAAGAATAAGAACATTTGGATTTAACGAACCTTCGACAATATCGGGTATCCCTCCCCAAAATTATCCCTCCAAATCGGAGATACACTGTGCGTAGAATAGGAAAGAAATTACCTGGTAATAGCCAGGTCTATTAACGTATTCCTTTTGTGTTCCATCCAACAGTAAAATATAGCAGGGTTTTAGAAAGAAAGGGTTTGTAATGTATGGAATCCAACTGGTAGATTATCTGGCAAAAAGACCTAGGAGTAGATGAAGGAATAACATTAAAATAGATCTTAAACTAGTGTGACATGATCGGAGCTGGATTCATCTCATTTGGATTATAAATAGGTGGTGGTCTCTTGTGCACGAAGAAATGAATCTTCAAATAAGATCTAAAAGTTTGTGACGGTGGTAAATTGTTACAATTAATATGTTGTTGGACATTATCCATCATCTTGTCTGTTCTTAAAAGACCGTCCTGTTTCTCTTTCAAAACACAACGTTTCGGGGACTGGATTCTGTCCCCATCTTCAGGTAAAACTTACTCAGTCGGGTCTAATAGACAGAGCTGGCCCCTATCTCCGGACACCTATGCCGGTTTCAGAAGGGGTTCATAAAACAAGCACAACACAAACCATCTGTGAGGGCTAAGAAACAGTGAAGCTATCACATATGAGGCCTTGAACCAGAGAAGTATCTTGAATGAAATACTCAGCAATACTCCTTGTGGTACCAACACATGAAACAAATAGTTACCCACTCCAACTACACTTGACGGCGCTGTAGTCTCTTGACTTCTGCTGTCATGACAGGGGTTCAGATGGGAGAGATATCCAAACTGGGTTGAGTGACTGGATGGTCCAGCAGAGACATATGGGCTGTTTCCTTGTATTTCCTGTATGTGGTGTTGGGTTCGATCTGCAAGACCTTCGCTTCATTCCAACGAATTTTGCGGTCTTCCTCGTAGGCATGTTGGGCTTATTTAGATTTTTCCAGCAAACCCTGTGTCATGTTATATTTGTGCTCCTTAATGCGTACTTCTAGGAGTCTGCTAGTTTCACCGGTGTAACATCTGCCGCAGTCGCAAGGGATGCTATACACACACTGCTTCGTTTTCTGGGCATCTCTACTGGGTCCAGTTTTCATTAATGTGCCCCGGAGTGTATGTTTCGTTTTGAAGATTGTTCTGAGCTGAAAACGGTTCCCGATGCGTCTGAATTTCCCGGCGATACCCTTGACATAAGGAATGACTACAGTGCCCCGGTATGTTCTGTCTGAAGAGGGACGATTTCTTGTCGATGGCATCAATACAGAGTCCACGAATTCTTTAGGATATTCACTGAGCATCAGGTAATGGCTTATGTTTCAGATTTCTCTACTAAAATCCTTCTGGTTCTGACATATGACCTTCGCTCTGTTGACCAAACTATGAACAACTCCCCTTTTTATGTGTTGTGGGTGACTGGACTTGAAGTGAAGATGACCAGTATGAGTAGGCTTTCGGTACACTTTAGTGGTCAGTTTTGGACCCCGTTGGATAATGTCCAACAACATATTAATTGTAATAAATGAATCTTCAGCTCCCATAAAACGCAGGGAATATCTTCAATAACTGAGGGAATGTAAGTTTTACGGAACAGTGTTGCTCCATGGAGGCACTTAGCTCCATATTATTGCACTTTTCGCAATCTTGTGTAACAGAACAGATAGCAACAGCAAAACACTCACCTAATTACAAAGATCGAATCATGAGGTACTGAAATCAGTGCTCGAGTCAGTATTTTGAATGATGAAAGGTAAAGCCAGGATGTTGCCCACAACGGGTTAATGGCGGGACGGGTCCGAAACCAAAATCATTTTATATAAATACGACAAAGCTTGAATATAACAATACTTTTTTTCAAGTTTGAATCTGGAGTGAGATAAATCCTAGATCCTAACCGTGTAGGATCATCCTATGGAATCTTGCCTGACAGAATACGAAAATATTATCGGAACCAGAGACGAATACCATTTAAATCCCATAAAATGTGTGAATTTGGTCGAATATGGATGATACAAAACATGAAAAATAATTACAGTCCATAGCTCGCTACCACAAATGCGGGCGAAGAGGAATGCATATAGGATATTGGTGGGAAAGCCAGAAGGAAAGAGACCAATGGGAAGACGAAGGCGTAGGTGGGTGGACTGTATTAAAATGGATCTTAGAGAGATAGGATGGGATAGTAGGGACAGGATTGATATGGCTCAGGATAGGGACCGTTTGATTCTTGTGAACACGGTAATAAACCATCGGGTTCCATAAAATGCTGGGAAGTTCTTGAGTGGCTGCTCAACTGGCGGCTTCTCAAGAAGGGCTCAGCCCCGTGAGTGAGTGAGTTTGCAAACACTAGCATAAAAGTAAGAAGTTATTTATATTTATTCATCTGGCTTTTGCTTAGTAACGCTACCAGTAGCTCAAGTGGTGTAGCATCGAACGGTAGGGTGATTAGTGAGTATTGAATTTTATAAGTTATAAAGGAAACGGGGCGTGGTTCAGTTCTTTATACTAATCCGACATTGACCTGGAGGGAATATAAACACCACCAAAAACTGTCACCATGGCCTGTCTCTGGACCAAGATCTACACCCGCGAGCTGGCGAATGGCAAGCAGGATTGCTACCCACTTGACCGCATTGTTCGGTAGTAAGGAATTACATTAGGAGGACATAAAGTTTGTGAAATGAAGAATAGTTTTATTTCTTAGTGATCTGAAATAATTATCCAATCCCTTGACTTTCTGAGTTGCCGTAAACACTGCCTGAGTCACAAAATATTAGAAAGTCAATGTTAGAACTTGAATATTCTTGAATATGATGGTTCTATCGATAAATTCTAATAAGTTGTTTTTTATCCAAGGGTCCCCAGTCGTCCTTGTGGATTAACATTTCTGACATAACAAAAATACTTTGGTCTTTCTTATGTTTATCCCACAAACCTAATTCATTCGAAATATCTCGTTGTTAAGATAATACCTCCATCTTCTTGTGGCCGATTTCCGTACTGTTGAACTAGCACAAACATAACGCAAAAAAATGTCTCTTACGACAGGTACGTCAAAAATTTGATCTGATAAAAAGGAATTTGCGGACTAACATTCAATATCACCTGCATAATTTCTAAGAAACTCCGATAACAGTTCCCCAGATACTATAAAAGTTAAGTGATTAATAGTCGATTTAATATAAATCAATAAAACTTTAAAAATCCGTGTTACTTTAACGAAATCTAACTTACTTACGAATAATGACAAAAATTAATATATGTTGCTGATTAAGAGTTAATTTCCCGGAGGTCAGAATTATCTTATAATAAATATTATCTCTTTCTTGTCATATGAAAGTGGCATTTAACGAAAAGATTTAAAGAATTCAAAACCAACATATACTATTCTACACAATCACTTTTCCTTTCTGTTCTTGGCAATGGTATTAATTGTTTTATAACAAATACAGCCTCACTCTTAGTTTAAATATATGAAAAGTTGATCATAAATTAGTTTAACTTTGATGAGTCTATTTTGTACACTGACATTTCTTTCTGATTCTTCAACTCATGTGATACCAAAAAATTTTGTAATTTATTCTTGTTCTTGAAGTGGAATTGGCAACTGTTTATTGTAACCCAGACGCCTTCTAGGTTAAAGGTGCTCGAATGCAGCATGCATGCTAAAATCGTGCCACTTTTTCTTTACGCTGGTAGTTCTTATTGCCGCTCAGATGTCGCCTCAGCCGTGCTGCTCGCGGTAAGGTGTGTACAATGGCTGATACTCGTTTATGCGGTGCTGCTGTGGCTGAGCGAAATCCTCCGGAGACAACTGGATCGACTTCACTCTGAAACACGATCAAGAGATGTAATTTCAGAACACGCTTAAAACTTAACACGTTAAATATGTAGCTAGTATTTAAATTGCTGATTAACTGACAGATCGACTGAATGACAATGCGTCGTTTGAAAGATTCTCATAGCTCTGTCCACAAGGATTACTGAAGAGATCCTTCGGAGGTTTGCAATTTCCAAAATATAATTTCTTTGCCATGTGTTGTTTAAAGTTAATAATATACTGTAGAATTCTCGTCACGGAGTAGTAATTCTAATAGAAATTGGTGTTTTCTATAAGAAGGTCCTGGAGGTTTTTTTGGTAATCATCTGATACTCTCGCTTTGAAAGGAGCCCGGATAGCGTAGTCAGTGTAGCGATTGGCTACGGGCCAAGAATGTTCTCTTCTCCACGTTGTCCATACCCGTTCTGGGGCCCACCCAGCCTTATATCCAATGGGTATCGGGGGCTGTTTCCCCAGGAGTAAAGAGGCAGGGGCGTGAAGTTGACCACTCACCTCCAACTAGTGTCGAGGTCATCCACTCCCCCATTCGCCCTCATGGCGTAGTCGCTGGCTTTCCACCGCGGCGGCCCGGGTTCGATCCCGGGTCTGGTCAGGTGGGATTTGTGGTGGACAAAGTGGCGCTGTGGCGGATTTTCTCCGAGTACTTCGGTTTCTCCTGCCAATCTTCATTCCACCAAATTCTTCATCATCATAAACACCCGGGGCAGGCTACAGTAGGCCAATCAGTGGCCACCGCGCCGAGCGGACCCAGTTGGCCTCCACCCCCACTAAGCGAATTAAAAAAAAACCCTTTACTCTTGCTTTGAAACCAACAGAAGTTATGATGCTCGAAGCAAATGCATGAAAAACACAGAACTGGTTTCGTCTCGTTACAGCTGTTAGTAATATCTTCAAGAACGTCACGTGCGTACACTACAGGTAACCAGAGAGAGATTATCGTCCGTCAGACTTTTGCGGTTCTCGTTTCTCCAGAAATCAAAGCGATGATAAGTTACAACAGGTAGCCCTGACCCACAGCGCCCGCTTAAGCATAGTCATTGAATTTACAGAAGACACGAAAAAATTCGTCTCAAGACTGGGAGAAGGTTTTCAACAAGGAAACTTTCCAATTAGTCATAAAAATAGCTGCTTGCCTCGTGAGAATCGCTGATTCTTCGATGATCTTTGACGATGTCAGTATTGTTCTTCATTGGTGCATGGAAACGTTATGTGAGCATTGCAAATTTACAATCCTGTATATAAGCATCTTGTTGCATTACTAAATCTAATGCTGTTTATTGTACTACACAGTCAGTCTACAATGCAACAAATTGTTCTTTCTTTCTTACAATTTCACTTTCGGGACAACATGTTTCGGCCCTAAATGGCCATCTTCCGGTGTCTTACTATGCTAAAACTGCTACACTGCACTAATGTTGTTCATTCGTCGAATATGCGACTGCACGCTTCATAGTTTAAAACGTCATACTCGTAGTCAGTTGGTATGCGCTAAAATAGCAAACGCTGAAGTTCACTTAATTCAAATCAAATAAAATCTATTAAAATATTGTATTAAACTTTTCTATTATAAATTCCTTTAAATGTTGTAAAACTCTTATTGCACTTCACAAGGGGTATTGTCCACTTGTTTTGATCTGTATCCTTTACTTCATCATCAGTAATCTGTCAGACGACAGGTCCACAGTCTCTTCCAAAACAATTCCTCCACTTAATGCGATCTAGAGCTTTCTCCTTCAAATGACAGTATCCTATTCTGTCCCCAAGGTCATCCAGCGTCTTCTTACGTCTTCTTCCTCGTCTTCTTGTCACTTCTATCCGCCCCTCTATCTTTCCTTCGATAACTTCTTTTACACGTAGAAGGCAGTTTCTGCGTAAAACATGACCAATCCAATTAACCTTCCGTTTTCTTATTTCGTGTAGGATATTCCTCTGCTCACTGACTCTAATTAACACTTCTTCATTTCTCACATAATCGGTCCAACTGATCTTCTTCATCCTTCTCCAACACCACATTTCGAAACTTTCCAGATGTTTCTGATCTACTGCCCTAAGTGTCCATGTTTCAGCCCCATACAGAGCTATGCTCCAAATGTAGCATTTCACTAGTTTCTTCCTCAAATTTAAGTCCAATTTGCTGGTAAAAAGATTCTTCTTCTTGCTAAATGCAGCTTTTGCCATGGCAATCCTGGATTTAATTTCACTACTACACCTTCCATCATCTGTTAACAAGCTACCCAAATATTTAAAACATTTCACATTCTCCAGTTGTTTTTGGTCTATTTTTATTGTGACTGGGGTTGGTTGTCTCGAAATTTTCATTACTTTTGTTTTCTCCACATTCATTTCCATGCCATAGCACCTTCTAATTTAAATTAGTCTATCAATCATGCCCTGTAGCACAGTTTCTTCCTTAGCCATTAACACAAGGTCATCTGCATATTTCACAGTTTGAATAATTTGCCCTCCTACTTTGAAGTCTCCGAGCCCATCCAGAGCTGGTAAGGCA